TTCTTCTTCTTCTTCTTCTTCTTCTTCTTCTTCTTCTTCTTCTTCTTCTTCTTCTTCTTCTTCTTTTTCTTCTTCTTCTTCTTCTTTTTCTTTTCTTCTTTTTCTTCTTCTTCTTTTTCGGGGGGGTTTCTCTGTGTAGATTTGGAGTCTGTCCTGGAACTTGCTCTGTAGGCCAGGGTGGCCTCAAACTCACAGAGATCCACCTGCCTCTGCCTCCTGAGTGCTGGGATTAAAGGCATGCGCCACCACAGCCCCACCTATTTCTATCTCTTAATCCTGCTTGGATGACAGGAATGAGCCACCACACCTAGTTTATGTGGTTCTAGGGATCAAACCCAGGCTGTCCTGGCTGTCCTCTCCAGCGACTGCCTGTCCCAGTGAATGTATAGAAGGCAAACATTCTGTCCACTGAGCTATATCCCCAGTACAGTTTAATAAACTTTTTCCTTTATAAACTTTTAACTTTGAGACCGTCTACTACCTTGCCCAGGCTGGCCTGAATTTGTGATCCTCCCTCCTCAGACTCCTGAGCGCTGAGATACCCGTGGACCACCACACCCCACTTGTGTTGTTTTAAGGTCTGTGTTACCCAGGCTAATCTAAACTCCTGAGCTCAGAGACCTTCCTGCCTCTGCCTGCCAAGTAACGGGGATTCTGAGCTTTCTGTCTTGAGTTTGTTGAGGCCGGCAAGCTCTGCAATTAAGATCAGAGTACATGGCAGCTGAATTTGAGTTGAGCAAGCCTCTCCTGTCCAGGCCTCAGATGTCAGGTCTGTCAGGTCCTCCCGGATCAGCAATGATCTCTGGCTGGAGGAACACAGTGAGTGACTCCTTGTCCTGGTGCTCAGGGGTCTGTTGATCTACTTCGGGTAAATGTCCCAGCAAGTGGGGTCTGGCGGCTGGCTGGGATGCTGCTGGGAGTCAAGCATCCTTAGCAGCATCATGATGGCTCCTCCAGCCAAGTGGCCACTGCTTCTCAGGTGAAGAGAGCTGGGGAAGCATGCAGCGCTGAAAAACTCCCAGAGAGCGGGAAAGAGACTGGACGGTGGGGAAGTGAGCGGAGCCACACAGGGAATTCTCTGCCATGGGACTGGAACCTAAAAATTCCTCCGAAGAGGGAGACAGAAGCTCTGAACCTTTCTCTGGCACCACAGCCAAAGAGACTATCTGCCCCAGACATCGGGCATCAAGATGAGTAACTTCAATATTAAAGAGTAATTGTTTTTAAAAATAAACTTCAAATTACCAAGCTCCCCGAATAAAGAAAAGGCTCGGTTTTGAATAAAAAGATAATGAGAATCAAAGCCAACAAGAGAAAGGCTGGGAGGGGTCTGGATGAAGCTGGTAGTCTCCCTGAGAGGAGCACTCAGGAGGATCTAAAGGTTTGGAGTGGGGCTTAGAGTCCATAGTGAACATCAGAGTCTGAGCCAGGTCCTCCTTCACCAGCACAAGGACATTAAGTGGCAAGGCTGTTCTTTAGCGGCCACGCATCTCGGCTAGGCTCTGTCCACATCTGGAAAATGAGAATAGGTGTAGGTCTGCCAGACTGTGAGCCCTGGGTCGTGCGTTCCGAGCTGCTCGCACACCAAGCAGCCCCAGGCGTGACAAAACAGGCAGAGCCTGTAAAGCGGTTGGGGCGGCTGAACGCGAGGGAGAGCTGCTCCCAGCCGGGAGGTGACACTGCAGCCCCACCGTGCGGCCACAGGAGGCTCCTGCAACCCGCCAGGAGCTCCGCGAACGCCTACAGCCTCCCACCAGCGCCAATCAGCGACGGCAATAACGGCTAAGAAACAGCAGCTGGCATTTATTTGAACGTTTGCTGCGAACTAAACACTGTGCCTACTGC